CGATTTGGAGGTCACCCATACTATTGGTAGGATCAAACAAGTCGACCAATCGATTGAGCACGGCATCGCTCGATGATATGGGGGCATGGGTCTTGTCCTGGGAGAATATATTCCACTCGTCCTTGGACACGACGACCAGGATCGCAGTGAGCACAATAACCTCCCGGAGATATGGTTTTGTATTGATCTCTGGAAACATTTCAAGGATGGCAGGAGATTTTCGACTCCTTGAAGTTGTCCACGTTGCGCCGTGGCCCATGCCGACGATCGAATTGGCGATGGCAGCCGAGGGGATGATGGCCGCTTGTGGTTGAGGAGTCGGTGCTGCTACTGGGATGGAAGCCATACCATTGAATCCGATAGCAGAAGAGTAATGGCTGTGTATTGAATCGGAAGAGATGGATGATCTCCAGGAAGTGGATTGATTGGACCGGTGTCTGCGTAGTGGATTTGTGGATTGGAGTGGTTGGGGTTGGGGGTCGACGGAGGGGAGAGAACCTGGTGGTCGGTAGACAGAGAGGACAGTGGATGGACCCGAAGCTGGGCCACGAGCAATTGGGACGACGCAGTGCCACATGCAGGATTCCGAGTCAAAGAGGGTTGGCTGGGGTACCCATTTATACTCTTCCATCTGCGACGTAAACGTTGCAGTTGCTCTACACAAAACGTGAGTGTTTACTACTGGAAGTAAGTGGACACGCACTGAGTGACACCTAGTCTCCACTTTGAGCGTGTCAAAAAGTCGGCTACGGGGATTTTGACGCCGCTCATCTCGACCATGGTCTTTCCACTCGAGGCCCAATAGATCTTGGCGACTTCTCGGACGGTCCTTTCCTTGACGTCAAAGCTCCAGAGGGTGGTGGTGGCCTTGTTGGAGCTTACACTATCGGTGGTGACTTCGTACACTGGCGCCCGATACCCTGTTGGGAAGAATGTGGACCTGAGGAGCGAGGTGCCCGCGTTGTTGAGAGTGATGTGATAAGAGTCGGAGGAAAGTGTGACACTCGGTGGTTGTTGTTGTCGTGTGACCATGGGCTGCATGGGTATGGCCGTCGGTGCGCCGTGGCTTTCGAGGGAGGACGAGGAGCGGTGGGCAGGCGATTGGTGGACACTGGCTGCATTCTGGTTTTGGAAACTCTCCTTTTGTGGCTGTATGGACACGTTTTGGTGTTGTTGTTGGTAGGATTGCATTTGTTGGGTCGTTTGAGCGGCTACTCTGCCTCGGACATAGGGTCGTGGTGCCTTGGGAGCCATGCCACTCCGACCCGACTGGTTTGGAAATACAGTGATTGGCATTTTTTCGTTTCTTTTTGCTGGAGTAGTTATGAGTTTAGAGTGGGCCTCTAGCCCTTTGGATAGGAGGGAGAGAGGAGAGAGCGATACGCGCGAGAATGGGCTAGCACAGGAGATATAAGGAAGGAGTGAATAGCACTGCCATGTCCGCACTGCGTGAGAATCGAATCGGGCGAGTGGGTGAAAGAAGAATGAGAGCAGAGGACCATTCCCAGCCAGTATTCCCAGCTGTACATCCACCGATGGCTGCTATCACACAAGTACACTACAATTGCATCGTATACTGTAGAGATAATGTTACCAGTTGTAGTACAAATTGTCAGAGTATAATGTCGAGTACTGAGGAAATGCGGTTGATGACGCAGCGCGAGACGCGTCTCACGCTCTCCACTCCCATGATCACAGAGAGACCAATCCAGTGCGGCATCTTCTGACATCCACTAGGGTCTGTCATTTTCATCAAACTGGCTTTAATGCTAGGGTCTCAGTTGAACAGCCATCGTACAGTTAGGTACTTGGAGTAGCGTACACTATTTCTACTTTGCCTCGGGCAGAACCTCTTCTACCCATACACCCTTCTTGCCATCAAACCAAGTGCGCAATCCCGTTTCCACAGATTCAGCCCGTGTCCCATCGAGTAATCCCCGAACGATCCCTGCCT